GGTGGCGGGGGCTTGATTGGGGTGGGGGGGTGGGAGAGCAGTGGGTGGCCTGGCCGGGGCAAGGGATGCACTGTATTCTTGGTGCTTGGAAGGAGGGCAACAGTGGGAGGGCTTCTAGTGTCCTGGCCCCACTGGTGGACCTCCTGATGGTACCTGGTATTTCTGGCCACTGTGTGACAGAGTGCTGGACTGGATGGGCCCTTGGCCTGATTCAGCATTGGCTTCTCTTATGTTCTTATCCAACTGATTTCAGTTCAAAACAGTTAGGGTTAAGTCTAAAGCTCTAAGTATCTTGAATGTCATCTAAATTAGTGGCCTTTACCAACACTGTGAAAGCCATTATCCTAAGATGCTATCTATACTGCACACACAGAGGGCAAAAACTGCATGCTCTGGCAGAGCTTTGCTATAGGAAGAGGCACAGATGCAAACAAACTACACCCCCCTCCCCAGCTTCTGCACGTGCAAATATACTGCTTACTGCTTGAAGCCCCTTTACTTTCAGTCCACTTCGGCACATATGAAATTGTGAAGCTGTTTGACCTGGTGGATATAATGGCTGGTATAATCAGAAGTACTACCACTGCCATCTATCACAAGAAAACAGGAATTTAATGTGCCCCCCACTATCATATATATATGATGTAGGCAGGAACCGTCCTGATACTTAGACCAGTGGTCCATCTAGCTGTATAGAGCTGTATATTTCTGACTGTCAGAGGCTCTCCAGGGTTTCAAGGCAAAGAAAAGACCTTCCCAACAGGTCCAGCCTTTAACAACAGTTTCAAATTGGGAGTGTGATGTGGTCCATGGGGTCGCGAAGAGTCAGACTCGACTGTGCAACTGAACAACAACAACATGCAAAGCATATGCTCTACCACCAAGCTATGGCTATTCCCCAAACTAGAAAACGGCACCTTTTATATACTTTATGGGGCCACAAGAGATGCCTGCATAAAAAAGATAGGGCATTAGTAGCACGCTAAGTTTGCTTCAAGTTCAGCAATAAAATTATAATCATTATACACCAGAAGGTTCCTGTATACAATGAAATATATTTCCACATGTGGTTTACAAACTTTCTGAACACTAGAAGATGTACTCCTGGCAAGCTTTGTCCATGTTTCTTCATCAGCCCTTAATCTACTTGTCATTACAAAGGAAAGTTGAAGAAAGAATAAACAAATTCTTCATATTTATCAAAAACTATTCTTAGTGGCTTTTGTTTAAAAATCTGACAGTGATTCAACACAGTCATTTAAACTGCTTGTATTTCATTATTTACATTTGCAGTTTCTGCACCATTTGTGGGGTTGGGTATCTTTGGCATTTCAGGGTCCAGAACCATTCGTCACTATTAGTTTAGCATCTGAAATTGGAGGAAATGAAGATTCCTGTTGCTCACAACAGGCTTACTTGTGCTTACTTGTGCCTGTGCTGAATATTTTCCTAATATACAATGAAAACTCTCGAACTAAATTCCCTTGGACAGTCATGAAACGAACACGTTTGTGCCTGACAAATGGTTTGCCCTGTGTCCACCCTAGGAGGAAGTGAAGGTTTAACTCGAATTTCAAGTAGTTCTACCATTGCACAATGAGCACACAGCAATTTAAACAAAGAATGTTTACCTTAGGCGCTGAAAAAAATCCTTGCAATGTGATCTGCGTAGGCAACTTTCTTATCCTGGTGTTGTATACCCTTTACTAGCCAAACATACCAGGCAATGAAAATATCATTCATTCATTGCTTTGCGTAGTTGTTTTTTCCCCCCTACAAGCATAAAGAGAAAGGTGCAAATTACTGCTGGCTTCCTATGAAGTCAAACAGGGCTGAGGAAGTCACCACAAGCAGCGCAAGATTGCAGGCCTACCATGAAGAAGAGTTACCAAGCTTTTAAAGAAGATTCTAGGCTCTAGGAGTGCTCCCCCACCCCTCTGTCTGTAGAGATCACTTTCCCACATGTGTTGGCTGCATGTGAAGGAGCATGTGCAGAGAGTCCAGCAGCGGTTGGCTATTGTGTGAGACAGGATGCTGGACTAGATGGACCACTGGTCTGATCCAGCAGGGCTTTTCTTATGTTCTTAAAGTTTTCTGTGAAATGCAAGCACACAGATTACAAATTTGCAAACGTTCTTTGAGATTATGAAGTATGGCATTGATTAGAGAAAGTGCTGCACAATTATTCATGTATTGTCAGTTTGCATGGTACTCGCCTGAGGTGAAGGCCGTCCCATTGTCCGACACCATGGTGTTGGGAATGCTATGGGTGCAGACGATTCTACGGAGGGCGCGGATTGCTGCTTGGGATAAAGTGGAAGGGACTGGGACTACCTCTAACCACTTCACGTAAGAGTCCACCAGGATGAAGAAAATCTACCCCTGGAAGGGGCCCACAAAGTGTAACCGAGACCATGGTCTTTGGGTGGACTCCCACTGTCTTGCTGGTGCCCGGGGCGGTTCCGTACGGGTCTCTTGGCAGGTCTGGCAATGCTTAACATAGTCCTCGATCTCGCTGTCCATGCCAGGCTACCAGACGTAGCTGAGGGCCAGTGCCTTCATCCGTACAATGCCCGTATATGTTTTGTGTAGCACCGCAAGAACTTGTTGGCACAACAGAGCTGGCACCATGACCCAGCTTCCCCACAGCAGGCACCCTTTGCGGGCAGACAGTTCATCCTGGTGGAAGGAGAATGCCACGAATTCTGGGCCCACCCAGCTGGCAGGCCATTCCCTCCCCACCCAGTCCAAAAAGCGGGAGAGAACGCAGTCCCTGGTGGTGTGGCAGGACAAGTCCAAGACCTGGAGAGGGTGGTCAGGAAGGTCCTCTAAGAGAATGATCTGGTGGGCTGGAGTGGGGTCTGGATCACAGGAGGGCAGTAGCAGGCAGCTGAAGGCATCAGCGTGTCCTATTGATTTCCCCAGGAGGTGGTGCAGAGCATACTGGTAGCTCGCCCGGAAGATGGACCAGCGCAGCACCCTGGGAGACAACATTTGCGATATCTGGTGGTCTGGGGCCAGCATGCCTTGTAGGGATTTATGATCTGTTACGATGGTGAAGGGCCACCCGTAGAGGTAATCATGGAAATTTTTTACACCCGCCACGATTGCCATGGCCTCCTTGTAGATCTGTGCATAGTTGTCCTTGGCCAAGGACGTGTGGGAGTAGTATGCCACGGGAACCTCTCTGCTGTCTGGAAGCTGGTGACCGAGGATGGCTCCCACCCTGCAAGGGGACACGTCACAGGCGAGGACGATGGGAAGCACTTCATTGAAGTGTGCCAGGACCTTGTTTGAGGTGAGCAGCTCCTTGACGGCACAGAACATGGCAGCCTGCTTCTGGCCCCAGACCCAGGGGGCCCATTTGTCAAGAAGCCGATACAGTGGCTCCATGATTGCAGCTTTGTGGGGCAGGAACGAGTGGTAGAAATTCAGCAGGCCCAAGAAGGCCTGGAGCTCCTGCTTCGATTTGGGGTTAGG